AAATCATAATATCTTTATAAAGTATTAAACTTTTAATGACTGCTTAGTTTATCAATAATTTTTCTTTACTATTTTGCCTTCATATTCAATTATTTTAATCTTAAACTTAGTAAGCTTTAGCTCTAATCTCATATCAAAATAAAAGCTCATTTTTTAAATCTCATATTTTAATAATCATATTAGTTTATTTTTTAGAATATAGGTAACTATTGCCTGAATAGTTTCATAAACTTCAGTGTAAGAGAATTTCTTACCTAAAGTCACATATATATTAAATCCTATTATATAAAACATTTTTTTAGATTTGAAATTTTATGTTATTCTAATCTTACTAGAACTGGTAGGTTTTTTTTCTGACTCAAGGCTGATTCATTAGAGGCAAGCTTTATCAAAAGCTTTCTTATCTCTAGTTGTTTTTTCTGATTTGCATAATAGTAGTGAAAACTATAAGATTTTTATTTTATATAATATATACATTTTTATTAGTATGTATCTAGTTATATAATGAACAATATAATAGGCTTAGAGTTCTTTGCAATAGAAAAGGAGGAAACTACCAAAAAAAATTTTTTATTTTATAAGTTAAATATTATATTTTAGTAAAATAAAATTAGATTTAATATTAATTCAAAAAATTTTTTTTGGCAATTTCCTTCCTTTCTATTGTAAAGAACCTATATATTTAAGAGAAAAAACATCAGGAAATGTTTTTATAAAAATAAAAGGCTAAAATCTTTAATACTAGCCTCTTAGAGCAATTTCTCTACTAGTTTGAGTTCAAGTTTAAGTTAGCTTTGATAGTGATTTTTATCTTTGACTTTGCTAGCATTATTAAAATACCTAATAGAAGACTTTTTATGACTTCTAATTTATCATTCAGCAGGTGAATCATAAAGTTAAAGATAGTTTTATCTTTTGGATGAATAGTTTTTTTCATAAGTAAATATTTTTAAATTTTATACTAAAAGTTGAAATATAAAGAAATATTTTTTTTTGCATTACTGCTATCAGCAATAGTCATGGTTTTTTTATCCTATTCTGAAAATATTTTTAGAAAAATATCTTTAAAAGTGTTGTAAAATATGTTTTTATCTTGTTTATCTGAAAGCTTAGAAAAAATAGCACTTAGCATTTCTACTGACAAATCAAAATTTATAATAGAATAAAGTGGTTTATCACTATTAATAAATTTGTATAAGAAATGATTCTCAGAATCTGTGAGTATGGTCTCTATACCATCTTTATTGTCTATATTAAGAAAATTTCTTGATTTAACACTATCATCACAAATTTTATATAGGTATTGATCTATATCAGAAGCTTTTAACTTACAATAATACAAGGTAAAAGATATGTCAAAGAAATCTGAAAGCTCAGATTAGATCATGATATTATATTATAAATATACAATTTAAGAAAAAGTATACATTTTAGAAGAAAGAAGTTTAAAATGAAAATTAATTCTGAAATATATAAATCAATACATAAACTTGAGTATTAGTTAAAAATAGTATTTTATTAATATACTTATATTTACAGAAGTAATAAGATTTGCAATTGAAAATGCTACCAATTGAAAAAATATCATATTTATTGCAATTTTTTTCTCAGGTAACTTGCAATAAATGTGATAAATTAACTTATTATGAATATAAATTTTATGATATTCATGCTAAAAAGTATTATAAAAAGAAATAGTACTAATAGAAAAAGTTGGCAAATTTAACTTTAATGCAGGTCTTAATAGATAATTTAAGGGTAAAAAAATAATATAACTAGATAGGTATTACTAAAAAAAAAACTGATGACAGAAGCTAATGATGTAAATGATAGGCTCTTTATGAATTTTATGCTAAAAAAATTTTCTTGATTAGAGTTACTAATATTATTAGTATTACTAAAGAAATCTGAGATTTCTACCTTTTTTTACTTTTTTTATAGCATACATATACAGTTCCTAATGAAAAGAATGGTGGTAAAAATACTGAATTTTTTTTTGTTATAGTGTTACTATTTTCCTATTGTTTATATTATCAAATCAAATAATAAATATATTACATAATTAAAATTGGATCTTTCAACAAGAATATGGTCTAAATTACATCTTACAAGATGTTCAAATGATTTTAAAGAACATCATCTGAGATGAGTCTTTCTTGGTCTTTATATAACTTAAACTTTAAATTCTATTGAAAATATATGAATAATTTTATAGAAAAAGGTAGTGATAAATATTAAGAATTAATGCAAAAAATAAAATAATCTCTTACAACATTTTTCTCAATTAAATTCAGCAGAAATAGGACAATTTATATTATGGAACACTTACTTAGATATTTTAATAGTATACTAAATAAGATTAAAACATAAATCAGTACAGAAGAAGATTATATAAAATATTACTCAAATTATAAAAATGTTAGTTAGTATCGGTCTTTTAAATAAATAAAAATTTTGCATTTTAAAATTTAAGTTTATACATATCATTTGAAAATATGTCTATCATTCTTTTCATCAAGAACTGTATTACATATATTATACATATATTCATTATACTATTTATATATCTATAAGGTATCATAGAAAAAATTGATTTTTTCTCTAGATTTTACTACTTTTTATTAGTGACACTAATAATAGCTATGATAACAAAAAATTCATTCTATTTTACATTCTAATATATTTGAAAATATATTAAAATATAATATAAGTATAATCAAATATGAATTTTATTCACATAATAAATAGACAATAGTTAAATTGTAAGATGACATATTTTTTGGTAATTAAATAGGCCAGTCATAATAATACATATCGCATCTTCACCTCAGACATGAAATTTGCATATATATATTAGTAATAAATAGATAATAGCTAATTGCAAGATGAAGCACTTTTTGGTAACCAATTGGATTAGCCATAGAAATGTATATCACATCTCTAATCTTAAACATGAAATTAGTGTATTTATATTAGCAATAAATAGGTAATAGTTAAATTTTAAGGTGATGCATTTCTAGTAATCAAATGTGTTAGAATTTAAATGCAGTAATGCAGTCAAAATTCGCTCAACTCTGGCTAACATTATTCTATAAAATCAGCCATAACTTTGGATAATATTTCAGCATTTAAGCTGATATAGAAATAATTTGAAACTGACAAACTAATATAACCTTTCTGGCTTTTTACAAGTTCTATACTAGCTTTATGACAGTTCTAAGACAACTATCAGGTCACTATCATAATGCTAAGCCAAAATATTAGTCAGAATTATGACATAGAGCTAGTTAAAATTAATCATGAATTTATTACATCACCAGACACAATATTTTTATTACATTTTGGCATTTTGATGGATAACAAAATAGATGAAGAAGGAAAATATCTTTAATACCTTAATAGATAATCAAAGAGACACAGAAGGCAGAAATTTTGACATAAAACTCAGAATCTAAACAGATACAGACAGCCTACATCTTCAATATGAAACTCAGTAACCAATCAACCGTAAAATTCCATTAGCGCAAATTATATTAGAAAATATTTATTAACATACAGTAAATAATAAAATAGATAAATTCAGATTATTTGATCATAATCACATTTAGATTATTTAATCACATTATTATAAATATAAATAGGAAAAAGGTAAAGAAAAGCGATTTTAAAGGTAAGGAATATAGTAAGAAAAATAAGAAGGTATAAAAAAATCAGCACATTTAAGTTATTTAATTAGATTATTTAATTTATCTAGGTTATTAACTTTAGATTATTTAGTTATATTTAAATTATTTAGTTATATCTATATTATTTAGTTAAATTTAAATTATTTAGTTATATCTAGGTTATTTTATTACTAAATAACCTAATCTAAGCCGATTATGACTAAAATAATATAATTATATTATTTAGTCATAATCGGCTCCTTTAAAAATGATCTTTTGATTGTAATAATTTAACCGAATTTTTTTGCTCCAATAATAACTTTATTGAAAATCAGTCAATCAAATCAAGATTTGTTATAAAATAGGAATTTAGTTTGAGCTTTGCCACTTTTGCCGCTTAAAGACCGTATAAAAGATTAATGTTACAGCTAATTTTTTTTTTTTCTGATAAGATTTTTCGATATAGAAGAACATAGGAATACAACATAAAAATAAAACGTATTTAAAATGTTTTCCTTAAATGATAATTTTTCAGAAAGAAATTCCAACTGGTTTATACAATTCATACATATTAATGAAACAAATCATGAAATTAGCGAGTAAAGCTTAAAATATTCACATTCTAAAGAAATTTTAATGCATTTTTTTTTTAAGTGCGAAAATATTGAGTGGTGGATAAAATAACATTTCATATAAAAAGGAGTAATGATACGTGCTTCATAATCGTTATAATAATTTCTCAAAAGAATTCCAACGATCTTATAAAAAAATTCTCGCGTATAAATTCACATTTCATGTACTAGATTTTTAACGACTCAGAGGTTCATACAAAGGAACATTACAAGTTGTAACCCTATTTAAATTTCAATCAGATCAGTAACTTAAATTAGAAATGATTTCCATAATAAACCGGGAAAAAGTTCATTCCGGATTTGATCTTTTATAAATAGAAATTTTTTTTTTTTAAAAAAAAATCATTCGTTGTTTTTTAATTTCCTGAAAACAATGTAGGAAAAAATTATGATAATGCACCTTATCAAGGGCAAAGTCAAAAAGCAATCAAAATTTGGAAAAGGTACAAAAATTTGTGGTGAAACAGAGATATATTTATATCTTTTTATTCATTATATAATGATGTGATGTTTCCGGGAAATTGCCGGACCGATCCTATATATAAATAAATTAAATTTTCGCACAATTATTTAAAAAACGTACGTTTTTTTAAAAAATTTGCAATTTTAAAAAATTTAAAACATTTGCTTATTAAAAGATTGTTATCTTGCCAAAGGGCACATTTGAATTATAAAACAGTTTAAACTTAAGAACAAGAATCTGATGGATGATACATCATCATTGCGTAGACATTATTCAGAAAGTGAATCCAATAATGATAATATTGTAGATAGCGCGAATCCTAGTAACCCATTCGAATTTATCACAACTCCTAGCACGAATGAACCTACTCCAAACGAATTTGCTATTAATCGAAATGAACCTATTCAAAACGAGGTTAACCCGAAGGAAACTTCGTCGTTATCAAAGCAAAGCTCTCAAGTTTATATTTCCGACCCATTTGAAGAAATTACAGCGGAAACATCTTATGACCCAACACTTCCCAACAACGATTCATCTATTATCGAATTTCCGACACCCGCAATTATAAGAACATCTCAAACAGATATTCCAACAAATCCATTTCATGCTTTAATTGAATATAACAAAAACAATTCTTCTCTAGACCGAAAGATGTGTAAGGATACAGATGAAATATCACCGCCGCCTTACCCTACAGATTCAAAAACGTCTCCATCTCATTCAGGAGACCACATCACGATAACATTCGCTTCTCCACCAGAATATACAGAATCACCAATCACCACACAGTCACAACCTATGTCACAATCTTCACATTATAGTTCATTAGAAGATATATCAGCGAATGGTTCACCCAATGATGAATCGTTAAATTCCACTCAATTAAAATATTGTAAGATATGTCAAGAATCAGATTCCCCATCTTCGCAAGGAGAGTCCGTAACAGATTGCTCATCGTATCGTAAGGGTAAATTAATTTCACCTTGTAAATGTAAAGGATCTCTTCAATACATACATCTTGGTTGTTTAAATCAATGGCGCAACTCTAATGTACGTGAAGAAGCGTCATATAGGTGTGAAGTATGTAAATACGAATATAAATTTTATAGAACACGTTTAGCCAAAATATTTACGAGTTATTTTACGCTACATTTTCTTACAATAATTTTATTATTCGCCATAGTTTATTTAGTTTCTTATATAGTAAAGTTATTTGATGCACGTAAAGAACCCCTTGATCTACCAAAGGATAGATGGCAGGACACCCCATTTTTATATCTTCATGTAATTCATTTTATAATTGGCATTTCAATAGTTTCAACTTGGGGACTAATGTTTTTTATGTGTTTGGTTTGTTTTAATGGTTTTGTTCAAACGAGGCAAACTTATTGTTATTGTGGTGGTTGTGGCGAACCTTATAGTTGTTCTAGTGGAAGTTGTGGATCTGGATTAGATTGTGGTGGTTCGGGTGGGGATTGTGGTGTTTTTATGGTTATAATAGCTGCAATTGTCTTAATAACTATATTTATATTCGGTCTTTCTTGTGCTATAATTGCTGCTTATTTATTCGTACAAAAAATTATATCAATTTATCTTGAAAAAATTCATGAACGTATACTAGATGTTAATAAGGATTAGAAAAAAAAAATCTCAGGGCATGTATGTGTATGTATTAATAGAAAATAAAGCTTTTTGTAAAATATTGGTGTTTTGAAGATCGCATCTTTGGTAAAGTTCTAAAAAATCATTTTTATAGGAATAATTCTGTAATAAAGTTTAAAGATTATAACCATAAGATTTATTTTTTAACTGAAATATATTATTATTATTATTATTATTTAATTTAAAATTATAGAAACAAATAGTTTATTAAACCTATTTAAAATTATAACTTTATAAATAAAAAATTTGATACTTGTTAACCTATAGTATATGATAAAATATTATATGTATTTATGATATAAAAATTATTTTTATATAATAATTGAATTAAATTAAGTTATATAATTTAAATTAATAATTTAATAACATAATTTATAATATTGTTATCTTATAAAATTATATGACTGAAAATATGAATATAAGTGAAATAAATTACAGAATTTAGATTATTACTTATTTTATTTTAAAAAGCATTTTATTAACAAATTTAAAAATTATATAAACATTCAAAAAATTTAAAAATTTAATAAACTGTATAATAATTATTTTAACAATTGGAAAACTTTTTTTGCAATTATTATAAATTCATTTTAATTTATTTTGAATCACAATTTATTTACATCTTTTAAAATTAAATTGATACTATTTGACTTTTTATTTAAAAATATATTTATTATAATGATTTATTAAATCAGAGGCAATCAATAGAAAAGGGAGAAATCTACAAATTTTAAGTAATTTTAGTTATTAAGCTAGTTTTGTTCATATAATCATAATCAGTAGAGTAAAACAATAAAAAAATTTTTGATTAAAAAGTGGATTTTCCCCTTTTTTACTGACCACCCCCAAATATTTATCTTTAAATTTATCAAATTTAAAATTTATTGTAAAAGTTTAATGCATTTTTAAATATAAACATACTAATAATACTAAAATATAATTTTTCAAATATACAAATTGTTTTTCAATATTAAAAAGTTATTATTAATATATTAATAGTAAAAATAAATATAATTCAATTATTTATTTAATTAAATTATTTATTTTTCACTATCTATTATAATTGATTCTTAATTTTATTATAATGTATACTTTTTTTTCTTAAATTTTAAATTTCTATTTAATTTTATAAGAATTATTAACATATAAATTAAATTTTACTTTTGTCTTTAAAAGATAATTTTATGATTATAATAAAAAACAGATTTATTATATATTATTAATAAATAATATTTCTTATTTATATTTAAAATTAATTCTTTTAAAATTATTATATCTACTTTTTTAGTTTTAAAATTTTATTTAAAAATTTTATTTATATTTATTTTATATTAAATCTTAATAATTATTTTAATAAATATCTTTTTTAAATGAAACAGTATTTTAAAAAAAATGTATTGTATTATTAAAAATTGCTATTCTTTTAATTTTTATTAGTTCAAAATATAAGTGAAATACTATATATATTTAGATCCTATTTTTATTTATCTATTTACTCAATAATTAAGTTAATACTGATTAGCTTTTACAATTATACAAAGTCTAGATAAAATAAATACTAATATAAATTATTTAATTAAAATCATTTAACTTAACAAAAATTTTTATTTTCTAGTATTTAAAAATATTTTTTATTTAATATAAGCTTTAAATTTACTTATTATTATATATAACTAATACTTTAAAATAATTTATAAATACTTTATAATCTAATATACTTTTATTTTTTGATATTTTTCACATATTAATACTAAAATTTAATGATAAATAATAAAAATTTAAAGTATATAATCTAATAAATCATATATATTATTTTTTTTGATATTAATTATAAGAATTTTACTTATATTTATATATATAAAATTATTTAAATTATAAATTAATATATTGTATTCTCCTTTAAATTATAGAGGTTTACAGGCAAATTTGCCTACTTATTTACTATTATTATACAAGTCGATTGCGAAGTCTACTGACTAAAAAGTAAACTTTAACGCATATAGCAATGTTTTAGGTATCTGAAGGATAATAATTTATGTTAACAATCCTAAAGTCTTGTTGACGTTAATAGAATTATTAAAGTAAATCACTACAATCAATGTATTTGTTTATACGAGAGAGCAATAATGATGGATTAGATTTTATGATACGAGTTTAACTAATAAAGTTATAAGGTAAAAGGTTAGTTTATTAATTAGAGAAATTGGGATCAATATCATTCAATAATTTAAATAAGCTCTTGTTTATAAACTTACAAAATTAAAGAATAAACAATAAACTAAATTATATCAAAACTATATTAGGAAAACTACCTAATAATCAATATCAAGACTATCTAGCTTGATTTTATTAACTGAGTAATTATCTGACTTGTAATTCACTCAAGGCT